AATACCTCTTCGCGATATCCATTTTTTTCTCCAGCATATATTCCTCATAATGTTGGCGAAGATGAAGATTCGTGGTCTGTGAATTTGCAGTTATAGAGGACATCATTGTATTTACTATGACCGTCAACGAACTTTTCCTTTCAACATTTTTTTCTTTTCCTCCGTGAATATTCCTATTAGTTAAGTTGATTATCTGATTATTACGAATTTGGGACAAGATAATGGTATAAATTCATAGCCTTTATGTTTTTTAAGTGAGAAGTTAAAGCTTTCATTTTTTATTTGAGTTGTGGCTTCAGGAACAATTTCTAGATCATAAGTTTTAAGTTCAGTATCATTTCCATGTTCATCTATATTCTGAGTGAAGGTTTAACTGTATATAAATTTGATATATTTACAGATCTATCGTGATTTCTCTTGACTTAACTTTGAAGATTCAGTGATTTTTTATCATTTTAAACATGGGCTTTAGTGTCCTCAAGATCTGAAGTTGTGGTTTCAGTATATTTCACCCCTTTTCTGACATTTTGAAGATCTGAAGGTGTTGCTTCACGTTTCTCATATCTGAAGCCGTAGTTTCAGTGTTATTCCGTTGAGCTGGAGCTGAAGTTTTACTGAAAATTCCTAGGTCTGGAGTTGAAGCTTCAGGGATATTATCTAGATTCCGGAAGTTGAAGATTCATTAATCATTTGCAATTTCTGGAAGTGAAGCTGAAGTTTTACTGATAATTCTGAAGTTGAGGCTTCGATTACATTTTCAATAACTGATACTGAAGTTTACTTGCATATCCTGGACCTAAAGTGTTAGTTTTTTATATCTGAAGTTATATCACTACTAAATGTTCCTAGGTCTGATTCTGAAATTTCAGTGACATTTTCTACACCTTGATAACATTCTTCTATAGTTGAAGTTGCTGCTTCTGATATTTTTTTTCTGTATATGAGGCTTCCATAACATTCGTTATGTCAGAAGTTATAGCATCAGCATATTTTTCTAAATAATTTTCTAGATCAGAAATGGCTTCAGTGGCTTTTCCTAAATCTGAAATTGTGGCCAGAGTAATTTTTGATAGACCTGAAGCTGTGATTTCAGTGGTATCTTCAAAAATCTTCTACGCTAGCTTTTCCTAGATTAGAGTTTGAAGCCTCAATGACCTTTTTAATAGCTATGGATTTCAGCTTCAGCTTCTAGTTCACGAGTTTTCACTTCATTGCTCTTTAATGGTCTGGTGACGAAGAGATATTTTCTAGGTCCGAATTTGTGTGAATAGTAACTGTTTCTTGGTCTGAAAGTGAAATTTCAGTAAAATTGTCTAGATAAAATGATGAGGCTTTAGTCATTTTATCTGTGCCTGATATGGATACTGAAACATTTACGTACTTAGTAACTTTTTTACTGAACCAAAAGTTGTTGCTACACTTGTTTGTTTGTTTTTTTTACAGATTTTTGGTTTCAGTGTTTTTCTCAAAGCCAGGGCTTGTGGCTTGTTGTCTGTTGTGGATTCAACATTTTTTTTCTATATCTGAAGTGGATTTAGGAAGTCTTTCTATATCTGAAGCGGCTGCAGTAAGTTTTTTTTTTCCATTTGAAGGTGTAGCTTCTGAAAAGTCTTCAACTAGATCTGCAGTTTACACCTCACTAACTTCCTCCTTTGAAACTTTAGTAATTCTTTCTATAAATTCTTTGAAAGTGAGGGTCCCGTGGATCAAAATGTTTTTTTTTTCTTCTTCTTGAAAAGCGGCTTCTGTAAAGTTTTCATGATCTAAAACTGTGGCTTCAATAAAATTATCCTGAAGTAAGGATTCAGTTTATTCACGAAATGTTTCAGTAACTTCTTTCCTGTTGTCAGTAAGGTCACTCGTGGAGGCAATCGTTCCATTCCGATTCCCTGGCGATGTAGTTTCGGGTTCTTTAGTTCTTGGCAAATTCTTGGACTGAGTAGTAGCATCATCAGCCACCCTGTTTGGAAAAGTTTTATCATTCGTTAGAGTTTAAAAGGCACAGTCTGGAACTTCATCTGAAATAGGAGTTATAGAAACAGTATCTCTCTCTGAATGGAAAGTCTCTAACATCACTGTATTGTCTTTGGGTGTTTTTGGGTTACACTTTGAGCTTCCTCAGTAGTATTCAACTGAGGAATCTGCACTGTCATACTGTTCACTTCTGCAGTATTGTTCAAGGGAGTCACAATTATGACATTGCTAATTTCTGCTGCAGTGTTCAGAAAAGGAGTCACCATCGTGGTATTGTGGTCGTATTGTTCATTGGTGTGGTTGTGTTCAAAGCATGAAGTTCCTCTAAGATACTTAAAGTAAGTAATCCACCTACAGTACTTACCAAAAGAGGGTTATTTGTCAGGTTCACGGACGTAGGACTTTCTGCCGTGGTGTTCAGGAATGGGGGATTCGTGGCGGTTGCATTCTGAAAGGAAAGCTTCGCTGTGGTAGTGTTCGCCAGAGGTGTCATGTCATCGGTATTGCTCACACTCTTCACTGTGGTACTGTTCAGCAAAAGCGTCACGACTGTGGTGGTGTTCTGTCCGTTGGTTTCATTCAGCAGAGGAGTCATCACTGTTGGGACGGTCTGGTCTGATGTATTGATCGGGTCAGGAGTCACCGCCGTGGTACTGTTCTGGTCCATGGTATTGTTCAAGTGATTCAACGGGGCTGAACTACTCTGTTCCGTGATGTTATTTGATGAGGGAGGTACCAGCGTGGTAGCATTCAGAAAAGGAGTCATGGCTGTAGTAGCGTTCACTTCTGTGCTACTGTTCAGCGAAGTAGTCACCACCATGGTATTGTTCAGCAGGGGAACAACTGTGGCACTGTTCAGAGGAGTCATCCCTGTGGTAGTGTTGACTTCAGCGACATTGTCCATTGAACGAGTCGTCAAATTATTCTCTTTTGTGGTGCTGTTTGTCAAAGAAGTCACCATCGCGGTCTCATTTAGCGGAGGAGTCGCCGCTGTGGTATTGTTCATCAGTGGAGTCGTTATATTGTCCATTTTTGCGGTATTGTTCAACAAAGGAGTCGCTGTCGCATTGTTCAAAACTGTGGCATTGTTCAACAAAGGGGTCGTTGTTGTATTGCTCAAAACTGTGTTATTCAGCAAAGGAGTCATTGTTGTATTGATCAAAACTGTTGCGTTGTTCATCAAAGGATTCACTGTCGTATTGTTTAAAACTGTGTTGTTCAGCAAAGGAGTCGCTGTCGTATTGTTCAAAATTGTGGCGTTGTTCAGCAAAGGAGACTCTGTCGTATTGTTCATAACTGTGGCGTTGCTCATAATTGTGTTGTTCAGCAAAGGAGTCGCTGTCGTATTGTTCAAAATTGTGGCGTTGTTCAGCGAAGGAGACTCTGTCGCATTGTTCATAACTGTGGCGTTGTTCATAATTGTGTTGTTCAGCAAAGGAGTCGCTGTCGTATTGTTCAAAACTGTGTTGTTCATCAAAGGAGTCACTGTCGCATTGTTCATAACTGTGTTGTTCAACAATGGATTCGCTGTCGTATTGTTCATAACTGTGGCGTTGTTCATAATTGTGTTGTTCAGCAATGGATTCGCTGTCGTATTGTTCAGAACTGTGTTGTTCAGCAAAGGAGTCACTGTCGCATTGTTCATAGCTGTGTTGTTCAGCAATGGATTCGTTGTCGTATTGTTCAAAACTGTGTTGTTCAGCAATGGATTCACTGTCGTATTGTTCAAAACTGTGTTGTTCAGCAATGGATTCGCTGTCGTATTGTTCAAAACCGTGTTGTTCATCAAAGGAGTCACTGTCGCATTGTTCATGACTGTGTTGTTCAGCAATGGATTCGCTGTCGTATTATTCAAAACTGTGCTGTTCAGCAATGGATTCGCTGTTGCATTGTTCAAAACTGTGTTGTTCATCAAAGGAGTCACTGTCGCATTGTTCATAACTGTGTTGTTCAGCAATGGATTCGCTGTCGTATTGTTCAAAACTGTGTTGTTCAGCAATGGATTCGCTGTCGTATTGTTCAAAACTGTGTTGTTCATCAAAGGAGTCACTGTCGCATTGTTCATAACTGTGTTGTTCATCAAAGGAGTCTCTGTCGTATTGTTCAAAACTGTATTGTTCAGCAATGGATTCACTGTCGTATTGTTCATAACTGTGTTGTTCAGCAATGTATTCGCTGTCGTATTGTTCAAAACTGTGTTGTTCAGCAATGGATTCGCTGTCGTATTGTTCAAAACTGTGTTGTTCATCAAAGGAGTCACTGTCGCATTGTTCATAGCTGTGTCGTTCAGCAATGGATTCATTGTCGTATTGTTCATAACTGTGGCGTTGTTCATCAAAGGAGTCACTGTTGTATTGTTCATAACTGTGGCGTTGTTCATCAAAGGAGTCACTGTCGCATTGTTCATAACTGTGTTGTTCAGCAAAGGATTCGTTGTCGTATTGTTCAAAACTGTGTTGTTCATCAAAGGCGTCACTGTCGCATTGTTCATAACTGTGTTGTTCAGCAATGGATTCGCTGTCGTATTGTTCAAAACTGTGTTGTTCATCAAAGGAGTCACTGTCGCATTGTTCATAACTGTGTTGTTCAGCAATGGATTCGTTGTCGTATTGTTCAAAACTGTGTTGTTCAGCAATGGATTCACTGTCGTATTGTTCAAAACTGTGTTGTTCATCAAAGGAGTCACTGTCGTATTGTTCATAACTGTGGCGTTGTTCATCAAAGGAGTCACTGTTGTATTGTTCATAACTGTGGCGTTGTTCATCAAAGGAGTCACTGTCGTATTGTTCATAACTGTGGCGTTGTTCATCAAAGGAGTCACTGTTGTTTTGTTCATAACTATGGCGTTGTTCATCAAAGGAGTCACTGTCGTATTGTTCATAACTGTGGCGTTGTTCATCAAAGGATTCACTGTTGTATTGTTCATAACTGTGGCGTTGTTCAGCAAAGGAGTTACTGTCGTATTGTGCATAACTGTGTTGTTCATCAAAGGAGTCTCCGTCGCATTGTTCATAATTGTGGCGTTGTTCAGCAAAGTAGTCACTGTCGCATTGTTCATAACTGTGTTGTTCATCAAAGGAGTCACTGTCGTATTGTTCATAACTGTGGCGTTGTTCAGCAAAGGAGTCACTGTCGTATTGTTCATAACTGTGGCGTTGTTCATCAAAGGAGTCACTGTTGTATTGTTCATAACTGTGGCGTTGTTCAGCAAAGGAGTTACTGTCGTATTGTGCATAACTGTGTTGTTCAGCAAAGGAATCTCTGTCGTATTGTTCATAACTGTGGCGTTGTTCAGCAAAGGAGTCACTGTCGCATTGTTCATAACTGTGTTGTTCAGCAAAGGAGTCACTGTCGAATTGTTCAACACTGCGGTGTTGTTTAGCAAAGGAGTCGCCACTGTGGTATTGTTCAGCCAAGCACTTGAGAGTCTGGTATTATTCATTAACAATGTGGTATTCATCAGCACCGTAGTCGCCACTATGGTATTGTTCGGCAAAGCAGTCATCAATATCGTACTACTTTCTGTGGTATTGTTCAGCAGAGGACTTACCAATGTGGTATCATTCAACAAAGGAGCCACCATTGTTGTATTGTTCGGCAATGGAGTCATTACAGTCGTTTTGTTCACTGTGAGACTCACACCTGTAGTACTGTTCACAAAGGGAGGCTTCACTGTAACGTTGCCCATCAAAGTAGACTCCGCTGTCATATTATTTAGTATTGTGGTCGTACTATTGTGTAGTATGGGAGTCCCCACAGTTGTGTTTTCCGTCGTAGTTTCGTTAAGGCGGAGAGGAGTCCCTGTGGTAACTAGGACAGAGTGCTTATTCGTGGTGGTATTCAGAAAAGGGGTCTTCGTTGTGTTCATAGATGGAAGTTCTTCTGTGGTCTTATTTGATAATTGCTCTGTTGTTCTGTTAAAAGACAGGGAAGAGTTCAGTGTTGAATCAGTTGGAGAAGTAGTTGTAGCGTTTAGGCTGCTATTGGTGTTACCACTTGAAGTGAGAATTACCGAATTAGTTACGTTGCTCATGACAGGTGTTATTCCGTCTTCCCCTTCATTCGTCTCGTTCCATACATTCTTGCAGATTATTCCCCCGTCTTTGACCATCTCCAGGAACTTGTCTGCCGTGTCCTGAAGGAATTTCATCAGCCTGTCGCCCGCCTCTGACACGGCGTCGTTAAGTACGTCTTTGGCAACGTCAGCGATGATGTTGGCGAAGGCTTGTGTCAGATTCTCTGTTAGGTCAGATGGTCGGCCGGTCTGCGAAGGCCTGGGTGTTGTAATTGCAGAAATAGTCTTGTTTGATGAATCGCTAGTTTCGATTGTTGGTTGTGTGACTGATTGATTGGTATGGGGTGTTTGTATGTTTAAGTTTGCATTTGTGATATCCTCATTTGAGCTTACAGATCGCATGGTTGTAGTAGCTTGCTCGGTCTCATTATTTTGCATACTAATAGTAATAGCAGTAGTATTTCCTGTGTTGGCTGCAGTGGTTAATGTGCTTGTTTCTGATACGTTACCATTTTCATTTAGATGGTGTGTGGTTGAAGAATTTAACAAAAGCGTCATTATTGTTTGTACTGTCGTGGAGCTTGGAGTTGATGAATTATTCGAATTAACTATAGTTTGTGTAACTGGGGAATTAGTTTCTGATGTGCCGTTAGGTTGGTGTAATTTTGTCGTTGATGAAGTATTCAAAGCATCATGTGTGGTAGGTGCCTTAGTAGCAGTGGTGGGTATCACGCTTTGGGTTTCTGAAATGCTATTCAGTGACGAACTAACTTCTGTGGAAGTTGACAAAACGGACGTTAGAACGTTATTTGGAGTCGCAAAGGGCATTGAGGTGTTGGCATCTGAGGTAGCCATGGTAGATGTGGGACTATTGCTAATGTTGGAGACTGTGCTTGATATGTGAGTAGCTGTTGTGTTTTCGAAGTTCAGGATGGAAGTACTATCTGCTTTCGATATATCGTTGACGATCGAAGTAGACGTGATATGACTACTGGTCGTCGTTTCGGCGCCTGGCGTGGACGTCTTCTCGCTACTGGCTGTTGTAATGCTTATGGTCTTATTGACTGCATTATTCTGATTGCTTGTAGAGGCGTTTTCCGTCGTCTTATCATTAGACATTGGGGTATTTGAAATATGGTTAGTTTTCGTGGAACTATAGGTCTTTGAGGAGGACTTGTACGGCAGGGTCGTTAACGTAATCATGTTAGTTTTTGTTTCTTCGTTACTGCTACTGATCTTGAAGGAATCGTCCATCTTTTCACTAATATCTTGCAGCTGATTTCGAATGCTGATGGAAATCCTGAGTGCCTTGAGCTGGGCTTCGGACACGACGTACGGCAGTTTGGACCCAGTGACAAGGACGCAGCTCTGGCTCAGCATGTGGGTGACTGCTGCTACGTCGGGCAGGGCGTCGGCCACCTCGAGCGAAGACTTGGTGACGAGGAGCCAGTTCCTTCTCTTCACGGCTTCCTCGAGGGACTCTAGCTTCTCGACCGCGAAGCCCACTTTGGGAGAACTCTCCGGCTCCTCCCTGGCCGCACTCATGACTTTCTCGAGGTCCATCAGGGTTCTCCTGGCAGAAGCGACGACTTTCTTGGAGGCTTCAAGCGCACGGTACAACGGAGCGAGCTCGTGGTCACTGATAATGTCGGTCTGCGTGGCGCTTTCTACTAGTTGTGCCGAGCCTTTATCTTGAAATGAAAAAAGGCATTGTCAAGACCGAATGAGATAAAACTATTTGTATACCATTTGAGGCAAGCGTGCCTCACCCAGACAATGGACACGCATGTGAGCGCACATGCACACACAAACACACACACACAGTTATTTTCCTTTCCACAAAACGCACCTAATAATCATCCAACACAATGACTGGAAAACCTGTAATCTGTGCCTCAAGCACTAACTTACCTGGCAAGCAGCACATGCATCTGTCGCCGATACACCCTTCCGCGTTTACATATCCTTTGCATTTTGACACTTTGGAGACACAGTATCCGCCAGCCGTCAGGCACGACTTGGTGATGTTGCAAGCAGGGGCGCAACATCTGCATTTCTTATTTTGGTTTTTGCATCCTAGTATGATCTTCCTTTCGTTCGCCTGGCAACTTTGCGAACATTTCCCTCCGTACGATTGGCATTTGAGTTGCAACATACAAGGTGGCGCGCAACATACGCAAGTTTTCCCTGAACATCCCTTTTCTATGATGCGTTCTCCCTCTCTGCAGGACTTGGCGCAGTAACCGTGGTACTTCCCGCATTTCTTCTTGAAACTGGCCGCACAACCTGTAGAGATGACAGGAAAACTGTATACCTGTTGTAAAAAGAAAAACAGCTGAATTAACAATTGCCCCCCCCCCCCCTCTCTCTCTCTCTCTCTCTCTCTCTCTCTCTCTCTCTCTCTCTCTCTCTCTCTCTCGCCCTTGCTCTCGCTCTCTCTCCACACATACACACACACACACATATAATATAAAAATATAGTGAGGAGAGAGACAGACAGACTGACAGACAGAGGCAGAGGTAATAACCCCAAGAGTCCCTTTACACCCATCGGAGACTCACGCCCACTCACCCGAGAGGCAGCACCCGCACCCTCCGCCGACGCAGTACTTCATCACCATCCTCGAACAGCTCTTGGTATCGCTGGTACAAGTTCCTCCCAACGACGAGCACTTTTTCCCTTGTTGGCATCTCTCGAGCTTCGTTACGTCTCTCTTACTCTCTTTGCTCTCCGCGTTCTGTTTTTTCTTCTTCTTTTTCTTCTTCTTTTTCTCCTTCTTGTTTTCATTTTGGGTCTTTTCTTTCTCGTTTTCGTTCTTTTTCTTCTTTTTCTTTTTCTTTTTCTTGTTATTATTTTTCTTATTTTTCTCTTCGTCATCCTTCTTGTTCTTTTTCTTGTTATTATCTTTCTTATTTTCCTCTTCATCATCCTTCTTCTTTTTCTTCTTCTTCTTCCTCTTCTTTAACTTGCCTTTAGTTTCTGGATTTTTCTTATTATTTCCTTTGCTTGTTTGTTTTATTTTCTTCTTTTTGTTATCTTCTACATCTTTGTTTGTAGAGTTGCCTCCTTTCTTTTTCTTCTTCTTCTTCTTCTTCTTCTTCTTCTTCTTCTTCTTCTTCTTCTTCCTCAACTTCTTCTTCCTCTCTCTATTGTCTTTTGCCTGTCTTTTGATTCTTTGTTTAGTTCTATCAATTCTTGTCTCTTTCTCAGTCTGTCTTCTAGTCATAAAATTCTTTCCGATTCTTCCCACTCTTTCTTTCTTGCTTCCGTTTTCTTTGAGACTTTGAAGGGATGACTTCTCTTTTCTCGCAGGACTCGCTATACCATTGTATAAAACAGCTAAGCCGACGCTGCCAGGGCTTCCTCTTTTATTCGGTGTCTCTTGTTCTCCTTCTTCTTCTTCTTCATCCAGATTAGTAACTTCATGTTTTTCTTCTTCATTCTGTGTCCGTCTTTGGTCTTTATCGCGACCCCTTCTCTTCCGCTCGTATGCTAGAATTGTAGAAATGTTTTAGTTATAAATTGCGAAGAGGAACAAAAAGAGATAAAAAGAATGAGGAAAGGAATAAAGAGGGAGGGAGAGGGAGAAAAAGAGAAGGAGAGAGAGAAAGAGAGAGAGAGAGAGAGAGAGAGAGAGAGAGAGAGAGAGAGAGAGAGAGAGAGAGAGAGAGAGGAAGAAAAAGAGAGAAAGAAAGACAGCGTGTGTGAGAGAGAGAGAGAGTCGAGAGAGACAAAGAGAATTATTAGATATATCCAGTTTTACAAAACCAACAATATAAAACATAACTGTCGTCAAACAAATCGTATCAAACTTTCATTTCAAACTCGAAGGACAGCATCTCCATACCACGCTGCACAGGCGGGCGACAGCAGCGCCAGTTCAGAGGGCAGCGGCCGTTGGGCAAACTAACGCAATCAGCGAATCTTTCACTGTCACTTGTTACGCGGACGCAGACCCCTCCCATGCGACTGCACGCCCAGTCCTGTTCTTGGGCGCGGGCGTCGTCCTGCTGATAATTGAGATGGAGTTTTACATTGGATAGTTTTGATAACACACCATGCCAATTTCTTTCTTTCCTACGTCTCTTTTTCTTACATCCCCCTCCGCCTTTCTCTATCTCTCTCTCTCTTTCTCTCTCTTTCTCTCTCTCTCTCTCTCTCTCTCTCTCTCTCTCTCTCTCTCTCTCTCTCTCCCTCTCTCTCTCTCTCTCTCTCTCTCGCTTTCTGTCTTTTTTACTCTCTCTCTCTCTCTCTCTCTCTCTCTCTCTCTCTCTCTCTCTCTCTCTCTCTCTCTCTCTCTCTCTCTCTCTCTCTCCCTCCCTCCTCTTTTTCTCTCCCTCCCTCCTTCCTTATTCCTTTTATCTCTTTATATTACTCTCTTCGCGATTTATAACTTACCAAAACATTTCTCCACCTCTGCATCTATCTATCCATGCATCTATCTACTAATCTTTCTATCCCCTCACCAGGAAGTCACCCGATCTTGTCTTCGTTATCAGCAGCGCGAAAACAAAGAGAGAGAGGGCGAACATCAGAGCCAGTGGGTTATCTTCAATGCAGGTGTTGTGTCTGTCTTCTTGAACACCTGTGATATGTGTTACCATTCACAAACGCACGTACACGTTGAAGTCGCATGTGTGTACCCGTGTTGTGTTTGCGGCATTTCTCTAAGTAACCAAATGCTATAAATTAATGGAAATTCTCTGTGTTGGCATCTTTATTCGTTTTTATATCACTTATTTTTTATTACGATTTTATTCGTTTATTCGTTTAAAAAATATTCTTAGTTTTCCAAAAGTTTCAGCAAGCTGTGTTTTCCCTTGCACAGAACGCGCAGAAGCTTGGATACGAAACGAGTCAACTCTGCCTGCATATTTTCCGTGAAATCGAACTGCGTGCTTGAAGCAATCACACTCAAGCCTGCATGATGATTGCAAAAAAAAAAAAAAAAAAAAAAAAAAAAAAAAAAAAAGAAATACGTGTTTGATGTGCTTTTTTTTCCTTGCGCCGCGTTTTCGTTATGCCACTTCTTGAATCTGGATTGATCTCGCGTTGGATCTAGAGCTTGGAATTGATGATGTCGCAAGCATATTTGTAGCCAAGCCACCTCCGGCCCTCTCTTTCAAGACTAGATATTCGGTGAAAATTGAATCAAAGGCACTTAATCACCAGTTAAAGTTTACGTTGGGTTCGGAAGGGAGGCGGAAATCCAGAATTCTTGTGTTATCATCACAACAAAAACGATTTAAAAAAACTCATTATTTAGTCTAAATATGAAGACGACAATAATTCGAGTAAAGCCATCTTAATTATCAAAGGCGTTTATTTATATATGTTATAACAAGCCGTGAACCAACCAGCCAAAAGGCGACTGTTTCCAAAATTGACAGTGACGGCAGGATCTTAAACAAAGATCCACGATGTAATAATTATTCATAATATGAATGAACGCAAAAAACATCTTGTATAAATGTTGAGTTGTCTTAACTTTACATAAAGTTTGATTAATTCAAAGAGAAACTAAGCAGTCCAGAGCATTACATTGTGGCAGAGGGCGGAATGTGATGCCTGTTTCGCACTTTTGCTCTCTCTGTCTCGCTCTCTTTCTCTCTCTCTCTCTCTCTCTCTCTCTCTCTCTCTCTCTCTCTCTCTCTCTCTCTCTCTCTCTCTATCTATCTATCTATCTCTCTTACCTACCTCTCTCTCTCCCTACCTCTCCTCTCTCTCAGTCTCTCTCTCTCTCTCTCTTTTTTTCTCTCTCTCTTTCTCTCTCTCTCTCTCTCTGTCTCTGTCTCTCTCTCTCTCTCTCTCTCTCTCTCTCTCTCTCTCTCTCTCTCTCTCTCTCTCTCTCTCTTAGTTCTGAGTAGATTCGTTCCATGAATGCAAAATATTGTGTGATCGTTGCTTTTCTCTCTGCCACTATACTTACCGGCATATGTGTTTTCATATCAAATCCCCGCGCATTACATACATGCTCACACACACACGCATATATATATATATATATATATATATATATATATATATATATATATATATATATATATATATATATACATATATATATATATATATATATATATATATATATATATATATATATATTATATATATATATATATATATATATATATATATATATATATATATATATATATATATATATATATATATATATATATATATATATATATATAATATATATATATATATATATATATATATATATATATATATATATATATATATATATATATGTATATATATATATATATATATATATATATATATGTATATATATATATATATATATATATATATATATATATATATATTATATATATGTGTGTGTGTGTGTGTGTGTGTGTGTGTGTGTGTGTGTGTGTGTGTGTGTGTGTGTGTATGTGTGTGTGTGTGTGCATACATCTATATACACACATACACATACACACACACATTTGTATGTATGTATATCATATTTCTTTGATATATCCTTATGAACAGGTTGTC